CATCCCGCCCTCATGTGCCTCTCATTGACGACGGACAGTGCCGTCCTGCCCTCACGTGCCACTCACTGGTCATCAGCAGCACCATCCCGCCACCGCCAGCCTCTCATTGGTCATCGGCAGCGCCTTCCCACCCTCGCCAGAAACTCATTGGTCAACGGCAGTGCCGTCCCGCCCACGTCAGCACGCGTGTGGTCATCGGCAGTGGCGTCCCGCCCTCTTCAGCCTGTGATTGGTCACTGGCAGCGCCGTCCGGCCCTCGGCAACCTGCGATTGTTCATCGGCAGCGCCATCCCGCCCTCATGCGCCTCTCATTGGTGACCGACAGCGCCGTCCTGCCTCTTGTGCCTCTCATTGGTCATCAGCAGCACCGTCCCGCCCCCGCCAGCCTGTGAATGGTCGTCGGCCGTGCCTTCCCGCCCTCGCCATCCACTTATTGGTCACCGGCAGCGCCGTCCCGCCCTCGTCAGCCTGTGATTGCTCATCGGCAGCGCCGTTCCGCCCTCGTCAGCCCGCGAGTGTTCATCGGCAGAGGCGTCCCTCCCACTTCAGGCTGTGATTTGCCATCGGCAGCGCCGTCCCGCCCTCGGCAGTCTGTAATTGCTCACCGGTAGCGCCATCCCGCCCTTGTCAGCCTGTGATTGGTCATCGGCAGCACCGTCCTGCCCTCGCAAGCCTCTCACTGGTCATCGGCAGCGCCGTCCAGCCCACATCAGAAACTCATTGGTCACCGGCAGCGCCTTCCCGCCCTCACCTGCCACTCATTTGTCACCGGAAGCGCCATCCCGCCCTCGTCAGCCAGTGTTTTGTCATCGGCAGCGCCGTCTCGCCCGCTTCAGCCTGTGATTGGTCATCGGCAGCGCCGTCCCGCCCTCATCAGCCTCTCATTGGTCATCAGCACCGCCGCTCCGCTCCCGCTAGCCTGTAATTGGTCGTCGGCAGCGCCATCCCACCCTCATGTGCCTCTCATTGGTGACCGACAGCTCTGTCCTGCCTCATGTGCCACTCATTGGTCATCAGTAGCACCGTCTCGCCCTCGCAAGCCTCTCATTGATCATCGCCAGCGCCTTCCCGCCCTCACCAGGAACTCATTGGTCACGTCAGCGCCTTCCCCCCATCGCCAGCCTCTCATTGGTCTCCGGCAGAGCCGTCCCTCCCTCGTCAGCCCGCGAGTGGTCATCTGCAGAGGCGTCCCAAACTCTTCAGCCTGTGATTTGCCATCGGCAGCGTCGTCCCGCCCTCGTCAGCTTGCGATTGTTAATTGGCAGCGCCGTCCCGCTCTTGTCGGCCTGCGATAGGTAATCGGCAGCGGCGTCCCGCCCCCGCCAGCCTCTCATTATTCACCGGTAGCGCCGTCCCGCCCCTGCCAGCCTCTCATTGGTCACCGACAGCGCCTTCCCGCCCTCACCAGCAACTCATTGGTCACCGGAAGCGCCATCGCGCCCTCGTCAGCCTGTGATTGGTCATCGGCAGCACCGTCCCGCCCACGTCAGCCTTGGATTTTTCATCGGCAGCACCGTCTCGCAACCTTCAGCCTGTGATTGGTCATCGGCAGCGCCGTCCAACCCTCATCAGCCTCTCATTGGTAATCAGCACCGCCGTTCCGCTCCCGCTAGCCTGTGATTGGTCGTCGGTAGTGCCATCCCGCCCTCATCTGCCTCTCATTGGTGACCGACAGCGCTGTCCTGCCTCATGTGCCACTCACTGGTAATCAGCAGCACCATCCCGCCCTCGCAAGCCTCTCATTGGTCATCGGCCGCGCCTTCCCGCCCTCGCCAGCCATTCATTGGTCACGGCAGCACCTTCCCACCATCGCCAGCCTCTCATTGGTCACCGGCAGCGCCGTCCCGCCCGCGACAGCCTGTGATTGGTCATCAGCAGCGGCGTCCCGCCCTCGTCAGGCTGTGATTGGTGATTGGCATCGCCATCCCGCCCTCGTTAGCCTGTGATTGGTCATCGGCAGCGCCGCCCCGCCTTCATCAGCCTCTCATTGGTCATCAGCACCACCATCCCGCATCGCTAGCCTGTGTTTGGTCATCGGCAGTGCCATCCCGCCCTCATGTGCCTCTCATTGGTGACCGACAGCGTCGTCCTGCCCACATGTGCCACTCATTGGTCATCAGCAGCACCGTCCCGCCCCCGCTAGCCTCTCATTGGTCATCGGCAGCGCATTCCCGCCCTCGCCAGCGACTCATTGGTCAACGGCAGCGTCTTCCCGCCCACGTCAGCACGCGAGTGGCCATCGTCAGTGGCGTCCCGCCATCGTCAGCCTGTGATTTGTCATTGGCAGCGCCGTCCCGCCCTCACAAGCCACGCATTGGTCACCGGCAGCGCTGTCCCGCCCTTGTCAGCATGTGAGTGGTCACCGGCAGCACCGTTTCGCCCTCGTCAGCCTTGATTCGACGTCGGCAGCGTCGTACTGCCCTCATCAGCCTCTCATTGATCATCAGAACCGCCATCCCGCCCCTGCTAGCCTGTGATTGGTCGTCGGCAGTGCCATCCCGCCCTCGTCAGCCTGTGATTTGTCATCGGCAGCGCCATCCCGCCCCCGCTAGCCTCTCATTGGTCATCGGCAGTGGCGTCCCGCCCTCATCAGCCTCTCATTGGTCATCAGCACCTCCGTCCAACCCCGCTAGCCTTTTATTGGTCGTCGGCAGTGCCATCCCGCCCTCATGTGCCTCTCATTGGTGACGGACAGCGCCGTCCTGCCCTCATGTGCCACTCATTGGTCATCAGCACTGCCGTCCCGCCCCCGATAGCCTGTGATTGGTCATCAGCAGCACCGTCCCGCCGCCGCCAGCCTCTCATTGGACATCTGCAGCGCCGTCCCGCCAACGTCAACCTGTGATTGGTCATCGGCAGAGCCGTCCTGCCCCAGTCAGCCTGTAATTGCTCATCTGCAGCGCAGTCCCGCCCTCAGCAGCTTGCGATTGGTCATCGGCAGCGGCCTCCCGCCCCTGCTAGCCTGTGATTGCTCATCGGCAGTGCCATCCCGCCATCATGTGCCTCGCATTGGTGAATAACAGCGCCGTCCTTCCTCATGTGCCACTCATTGGTCATCAGCAGAACCGTCCCGCCCTCGCAAGCCTCTCATTTTTCATCGGCAGCGTCTTCCCGCTCTCACCAGCCACTCATTGGTCACCAGTAGTGCCTTCCCAGCATCGCCAGCCTCTCATTTGTCACCGGCAGCGCCTTTCCACCATCGCCAGCCTTTCAATGGTCACCGGCAGCGCCGTCCCGCAATCTTCAGCCTGTGATTGGTCACTGGCAGCGCCGTCCGGCCCTCGGCAGCCTGCGATTGTTCATCGGCAGCGCCATCCCGCCCTCATGCGCCTCTCATTGGTGACCGACAGCGCCGTCCTGCCTCTTGTGCCTCTCATTGGTCATCAGCAGCACCGTCCCGCCCCCGCCAGCCTGTGAATGGTCGTCGGCCGTGCCTTCCCGCCCTCGCCATCCACTTATTGGTCACCGGCAGCGCCGTCCCGCCCTCGTCAGCCTGTGATTGCTCATCGGCAGCGCCGTTCCGCCCTCGTCAGCCCGCGAGTGTTCATCGGCAGAGGCGTCCCTCCCACTTCAGGCTGTGATTTGCCATCGGCAGCGCCGTCCCGCCCTCGACAGTCTGTAATTGCTCATCGGTAGCGCCATCCCGCCCTTGTCAGCCTGTGATTTGTCATCGGCAGCACCGTCCTGCCCTCGCAAGCCTCTCACTGGTCATCGGCAGCGCCGTCCAGCCCACATCAGAAACTCATTGGTCACCGGCAGCGCCTTCCCGCCCTCACCTGCCACTCATTTGTCACCGGAAGCGCCATCCCGCCCTCGTCAGCCAGTGTTTTGTCATCGGCAGCGCCGTCTCGCCCGCTTCAGCCTGTGATTGGTCATCGGCAGCGCCGTCCCGCCCTCATCAGCCTCTCATTGGTCATCAGCACCGCCGCTCCGCTCCCGCTAGCCTGTAATTGGTCGTCGGTAGTGCCATCCCGCCCTCATGTGCCTCTCATTGGTGACCGACAGCGCTGTCCTGCCTCATGTGCCACTCACTGGTCATCAGCAGCACCATCCCGCCCTCGCAAGCCTCTCATTGGTCATCGGCAGCACCTTCCCGCCCTCGCCAGCCATTCATTGGTCACGGCAGCACCTTCCCACCATCGCCAGCCTCTCATTGGTCACCGGCAGCGCCGTCCCGCCCGCGACAGCCTGTGATTGGTCATCAGCAGCGGCGTCCCGCCCTCGTCAGGCTGTGATTGGTGATCGGCATCGCCATCCCGCCCTCGTTAGCCTGTGATTGGTCATCGGCAGCACCGCCCCGCCTTCATCAGCCTCTCATTGGTCATCAGCACCGCCATCCCGCATCGCTAGCCTGTGTTTGGTCATCGGCAGTGCCATCCCGCCCTCATGTGCCTCTCATTGGTGACCGACAGCGTCGTCCTGCCCACATGTGCCACTCATTGGTCATCAGCAGCACCATCCCGCCCCCGCTATCCTCTCATTGGTCATCGGCAGCGCATTCCTGCCCTCGCCAGCGACTCATTGGTCAACGGCAGCGTCTTCCCGCCCACGTCAGCACGCGAGTGGCCATCGTCAGTGGCGTCCCGCCATCGTCAGCCTGTGATTTGTCATTGGCAGCGCCGTCCCGCCCTCACAAGCCACTTATTTGTCACCGGCAGCGCCTTCCCGCCCTTGCCAGCCACTCATTGTTCACCGGCAGCGCTGTCTCGCCCTCGTCAGCCTGTGATTTGTCATCGGCAGCGCCTTCCCACATTCGCCAGATACTCATTGGTCACCGGAAGCGCCGTCCCGCCCTCATCAGCCTCTCATTGGTCACCAGCACCGCCGTCCCACCTTGCTAGCCTGTGATTGGTCGTCGGCAGTGCCATCCCGTCCTCATGTGCCTCTCATTGGTGACCGACAGCGATGTCCTGGCCTCATGTGCCACTCATTGGTCATCAGCACCGCCGTCCCGCCTCCGATAGCCTGTGATTGGTCATCAGCAGCACCGTCCCGCCCACGTCAGCCTTTGATTTGTCATCGGCAGCGCTGTCCCGCCCTCGCCAGCCTGTGATTGGTCATCGGCAGCGCCGTCCCACCCTTGTCAGCCTCTTATTGGTCATCGGCAGCGCCGTCCCGCCCTTGTCGGCTTGCGATGGATAATCAGCAGCGCCGTCCCGCACACTTCAGCCTGTGATTGGTCATCGGCAGCGCCGTCCCGCCCTGGTCATCCTGTGATTTGTCATCTGCAGCGCCATCCCGCCCTCATCAGCCTCTCATTGATCATCAGCAGCGCCGTCCCACCCCGCTAGCCTGTTATTGGTCGTCGGCAGTGCCATCCTGCTCTAATGTGCCTCTCATTGGTAACCGACAGCGCCATCCTGCCCACATGTGCCACTCATTGGTCATCAGCAGCACCGTCCGGTCCCCGCCAGCCTCTCATTGGTCACTGGCAGCGCCGTCCCGCCTTCGTCAGCCTGCGATTGGTCATCGGCAGCGCCGTCCCGCCCTCACCGGAAACTCATTGTTCAACGGCAGTGCCATACCGCCCTCGTCAGCCTGCGGTTGGTCATCGGCAGCGGCGTCCCGCCCTCGTCAGCCTGTGATTGCTCATCGGCAGCGCTGTCCCGCTCTCGTTAGCCTGTGATTGGTCATCGGAAGCGCCATCCTGCCCTCGTCAGCCTGCGATTGGTCATTGGCAGCGGCCTCCCGCTCCCGTCAGCCTCTCATTGGTCATCGGCAGCGCCTTCCCGCCCTCGCCAGCCACTCATTGTTCCCGCCCTCATCAGTGTGTGATTGGTCATCAGCAGCTCTGTCCCGCATACGTCAGCCTGCGATTGGTCATCGGCACTGCCGTCCCGCCCTAGTCAGCCTGTAATTGCACATCTGCAGCGCCGTCCCGCCGTCGTTAGCCTGCGAATGGTCATCGGCAGCGGCCGTCCCGCCCATGTCAGCCTTTGATTTGTCATTGGCAGCGCTGTCCTGCCCTCACAATCCACTCATTTGTCACCGGCAGTGCCTTCCCGCCCTCGCCAGCCGCTCATTGGTCACCGGCAGCGCCGTCCCGCCCTCGTCAGCCTGTGATTGGTCACCGGCAGCTCAGTCCTGCCCTCATCAGCCTCTCATTGGTCATCAGCACCTCCGTTCCACCCCACTAGCCTCTCATTGGTCGTCGGCAGTGCCATCCCGCCCTCATGTGCCTCTCATTGACGACGGACAGTGCCGTCCTGCCCTCACGTGCCACTCACTGGTCATCAGCAGCACCATCCCGCCACCGCCAGCCTCTCATTGGTCATCGGCAGCGCCTTCCCACCCTCGCCAGAAACTCATTGGTCAACGGCAGTGCCGTCCCGCCCACGTCAGCACGCGTGTGGTCATCGGCAGTGGCGTCCCGCCCTCTTCAGCCTGTGATTGGTCACTGGCAGCGCCGTCCGGCCCTCGGCAACCTGCGATTGTTCATCGGCAGCGCCATCCCGCCCTCATGCGCCTCTCATTGGTGACCGACAGCGCCGTCCTGCCTCTTGTGCCTCTCATTGGTCATCAGCAGCACCGTCCCGCCCCCGCCAGCCTGTGAATGGTCGTCGGCCGTGCCTTCCCGCCCTCGCCATCCACTTATTGGTCACCGGCAGTGCCGTCCCGCCCTCGTCAGCCTGTGATTGCTCATCGGCAGCGCCGTTCCGCCCTCGTCAGCCCGCGAGTGTTCATCGGCAGAGGCGTCCCTCCCACTTCAGGCTGTGATTTGCCATCGGCAGCGCCGTCCCGCCCTCGGCAGTCTGTAATTGCTCACCGGTAGCGCCATCCCGCCCTTGTCAGCCTGTGATTGGTCATCGGCAGCACCGTCCTGCCCTCGCAAGCCTCTCACTGGTCATCGGCAGCGCCGTCCAGCCCACATCAGAAACTCATTGGTCACCGGCAGCGCCTTCCCGCCCTCACCTGCCACTCATTTGTCACCGGAAGCGCCATCCCGCCCTCGTCAGCCAGTGTTTTGTCATCGGCAGCGCCGTCTCGCCCGCTTCAGCCTGTGATTGGTCATCGGCAGCGCCGTCCCGCCCTCATCAGCCTCTCATTGGTCATCAGCACCGCCGCTCCGCTCCCGCTAGCCTGTAATTGGTCGTCGGCAGCGCCATCCCACCCTCATGTGCCTCTCATTGGTGACCGACAGCTCTGTCCTGCCTCATGTGCCACTCATTGGTCATCAGTAGCACCGTCTCGCCCTCGCAAGCCTCTCATTGATCATCGCCAGCGCCTTCCCGCCCTCACCAGGAACTCATTGGTCACGTCAGCGCCTTCCCCCCATCGCCAGCCTCTCATTGGTCTCCGGCAGAGCCGTCCCTCCCTCGTCAGCCCGCGAGTGGTCATCTGCAGAGGCGTCCCAAACTCTTCAGCCTGTGATTTGCCATCGGCAGCGTCGTCCCGCCCTCGTCAGCTTGCGATTGTTAATTGGCAGCGCCGTCCCGCTCTTGTCGGCCTGCGATAGGTAATCGGCAGCGGCGTCCCGCCCCCGCCAGCCTCTCATTATTCACCGGTAGCGCCGTCCCGCCCCTGCCAGCCTCTCATTGGTCACCGACAGCGCCTTCCCGCCCTCACCAGCAACTCATTGGTCACCGGAAGCGCCATCGCGCCCTCGTCAGCCTGTGATTGGTCATCGGCAGCACCGTCCCGCCCACGTCAGCCTTGGATTTTTCATCGGCAGCACCGTCTCGCAACCTTCAGCCTGTGATTGGTCATCGGCAGCGCCGTCCAACCCTCATCAGCCTCTCATTGGTAATCAGCACCGCCGTTCCGCTCCCGCTAGCCTGTGATTGGTCGTCGGTAGTGCCATCCCGCCCTCATCTGCCTCTCATTGGTGACCGACAGCGCTGTCCTGCCTCATGTGCCACTCACTGGTAATCAGCAGCACCATCCCGCCCTCGCAAGCCTCTCATTGGTCATCGGCCGCGCCTTCCCGCCCTCGCCAGCCATTCATTGGTCACGGCAGCACCTTCCCACCATCGCCAGCCTCTCATTGGTCACCGGCAGCGCCGTCCCGCCCGCGACAGCCTGTGATTGGTCATCAGCAGCGGCGTCCCGCCCTCGTCAGGCTGTGATTGGTGATTGGCATCGCCATCCCGCCCTCGTTAGCCTGTGATTGGTCATCGGCAGCGCCGCCCCGCCTTCATCAGCCTCTCATTGGTCATCAGCACCACCATCCCGCATCGCTAGCCTGTGTTTGGTCATCGGCAGTGCCATCCCGCCCTCATGTGCCTCTCATTGGTGACCGACAGCGTCGTCCTGCCCACATGTGCCACTCATTGGTCATCAGCAGCACCGTCCCGCCCCCGCTAGCCTCTCATTGGTCATCGGCAGCGCATTCCCGCCCTCGCCAGCGACTCATTGGTCAACGGCAGCGTCTTCCCGCCCACGTCAGCACGCGAGTGGCCATCGTCAGTGGCGTCCCGCCATCGTCAGCCTGTGATTTGTCATTGGCAGCGCCGTCCCGCCCTCACAAGCCACGCATTGGTCACCGGCAGCGCTGTCCCGCCCTTGTCAGCATGTGAGTGGTCACCGGCAGCACCGTTTCGCCCTCGTCAGCCTTGATTCGACGTCGGCAGCGTCGTACTGCCCTCATCAGCCTCTCATTGATCATCAGAACCGCCATCCCGCCCCTGCTAGCCTGTGATTGGTCGTCGGCAGTGCCATCCCGCCCTCGTCAGCCTGTGATTTGTCATCGGCAGCGCCATCCCGCCCCCGCTAGCCTCTCATTGGTCATCGGCAGTGGCGTCCCGCCCTCATCAGCCTCTCATTGGTCATCAGCACCTCCGTCCAACCCCGCTAGCCTTTTATTGGTCGTCGGCAGTGCCATCCCGCCCTCATGTGCCTCTCATTGGTGACGGACAGCGCCGTCCTGCCCTCATGTGCCACTCATTGGTCATCAGCACTGCCGTCCCGCCCCCGATAGCCTGTGATTGGTCATCAGCAGCACCGTCCCGCCGCCGCCAGCCTCTCATTGGACATCTGCAGCGCCGTCCCGCCAACGTCAACCTGTGATTGGTCATCGGCAGAGCCGTCCTGCCCCAGTCAGCCTGTAATTGCTCATCTGCAGCGCAGTCCCGCCCTCAGCAGCTTGCGATTGGTCATCGGCAGCGGCCTCCCGCCCCTGCTAGCCTGTGATTGCTCATCGGCAGTGCCATCCCGCCATCATGTGCCTCGCATTGGTGAATAACAGCGCCGTCCTTCCTCATGTGCCACTCATTGGTCATCAGCAGAACCGTCCCGCCCTCGCAAGCCTCTCATTTTTCATCGGCAGCGTCTTCCCGCTCTCACCAGCCACTCATTGGTCACCAGTAGTGCCTTCCCAGCATCGCCAGCCTCTCATTTGTCACCGGCAGCGCCTTTCCACCATCGCCAGCCTTTCAATGGTCACCGGCAGCGCCGTCCCGCAATCTTCAGCCTGTGATTGGTCACTGGCAGCGCCGTCCGGCCCTCGGCAGCCTGCGATTGTTCATCGGCAGCGCCATCCCGCCCTCATGCGCCTCTCATTGGTGACCGACAGCGCCGTCCTGCCTCTTGTGCCTCTCATTGGTCATCAGCAGCACCGTCCCGCCCCCGCCAGCCTGTGAATGGTCGTCGGCCGTGCCTTCCCGCCCTCGCCATCCACTTATTGGTCACCGGCAGCGCCGTCCCGCCCTCGTCAGCCTGTGATTGCTCATCGGCAGCGCCGTTCCGCCCTCGTCAGCCCGCGAGTGTTCATCGGCAGAGGCGTCCCTCCCACTTCAGGCTGTGATTTGCCATCGGCAGCGCCGTCCCGCCCTCGACAGTCTGTAATTGCTCATCGGTAGCGCCATCCCGCCCTTGTCAGCCTGTGATTTGTCATCGGCAGCACCGTCCTGCCCTCGCAAGCCTCTCACTGGTCATCGGCAGCGCCGTCCAGCCCACATCAGAAACTCATTGGTCACCGGCAGCGCCTTCCCGCCCTCACCTGCCACTCATTTGTCACCGGAAGCGCCATCCCGCCCTCGTCAGCCAGTGTTTTGTCATCGGCAGCGCCGTCTCGCCCGCTTCAGCCTGTGATTGGTCATCGGCAGCGCCGTCCCGCCCTCATCAGCCTCTCATTGGTCATCAGCACCGCCGCTCCGCTCCCGCTAGCCTGTAATTGGT